ACAGAGCACACATGGCTCCAGCCCAGTCAGGCAGTTGCAGCAGTGGCAACTCCAGCCCAGGCTTGGGGCCAGAGTTGGAGCTATAGCAGCCTCTCTGCCACTGTGCAGTCTCCCCTGTGCTTTCCCCCAGGGCCATGCATTATGTGGTCTTCCCCACACTCCCTCCTGCGCCTACCCTGGTGGCACCACACAATCTCCGCTGTGCTTTTCTCCCTGCACCAAGTGGTTTTCTCCAGGTGTTTGGGGCCAGAGCTAGAGCAGCTCCCTGCCCCAGACCATACTGAAATCCAAAATGAGGTTGCTTTTTCCCCATGTTGAATTGGAGAGGAGGGGACTTTGCCTGGGATTTGAGTAAACACAGTAGTATAAAGCAGGATCAGAGTTGCACAGATCAGCACAAACTTTTGAATGCAGTGTTCTTTCTTTCTTTCAAATTCTCTTTAACCTTCTTTCAGTGCTCTCAGCATCTGATGAGTGGCCTGGTGCTTACGAGAGCTTATGCTGTTCTGAATGAGTTACTCCAAGGTCTCACCCTGCCCTGCCTTCTGCCTGCATTCAGACTAATGCAGATGCTTACTTCTGTCAGCAAATGAGAAACTATTTTACATTTCTAGAGCTTGGAAATACATTTTTCTTTGACCAGGTTAATCTGTTTATAGCAATTGGTGTGAAGTTTTCCTTTTATGAATGTTACTCTTGACTTCTAATTTGGGGCCTGGTAGCTTTTGGACTATGCTTTCAGACTAAATTCAGAGTTTATGAAGCAGAGGCAACGGATATGTTACCAAGTTACCATGTAACTTTAGCTAACCTGTCCTTGTTCCAACACTGAACTGCTAATATCAGATTTTCAAGTCACAGACAGACTTTTTGTGACAAGACTATTCCCCATGCTGTTTGCACAAAACACTACCTGAATAACTTAAGAAAGCAAACATTGTAGCTTGTATTAGCTTCTAGTCAACAGGAAAAAGGAATGTGTTTGGGAATTTTCTGTTCTGCTCCATTTATTATAAAAATCTGCAGGAGAAACTCGAATTCATAAGTTACATCTATTAAAATTCTCTGGTGCAGTGTGTTTGGAAACTGTGACCCTGCTAGTTTCTGTATTACAAGCTACACAACTCCTTCTTCACTTCTTTGCAAGCTTTATAGTATAGTTGTAAAGGAAGTTGGCTTCCTTTTATGTTCTGCTTCATTTTTCTCTCTCCTTTCAGCTAGGGACAGCCTTAAGCATCACTGCATATATTTATCTACTGAATCTTTCATCTCTTGCATGGTGACGCATCATCTTGGGCTGTGATTTTTTTGTAAGCTGAAGAGGCATTTCTTGGAATGGAAACCTACAAGGAACACTTGATATTGTTCAGAGTGGTATATTTACTTGGTTGTAGGCCATTCTTCCCTGTCAATTCATAAAGTATAGTAACACAAAGCCCAAAGAAAAAATGTGTAAAAGGAGACTATCATCTGATCTGATCACTTGTATAATGCAAGCCAGCCACTCTCTAATAATTCTTGGATCAAACCTATAATGTCTCTTGTGAGTTGCAGCATATTGTTTAGAGAGAGATCCAGCTTAATTCACGCCCTTTGAGTGAAGGAGTGCGCACTGCAATTCTAAGTATGCTGTTCCAATGTTTAATTACCCTCACTATTAAAATTGATCCCTAACTTGTCCACCTTCAGCTTACAGCCTTTGGATCTCTTTGCATCTTTCTCTGCTACATTAAAGAGATGCAGGCTGTCAGACATGCCTCTCCCAGGGGTACTTGTAGACTGCAACTGGTTGCCTCATAACTCTCTTCAGTAAAGCATGGAGCTACTTCAGTTTTCCTTTCATACAAGGTTTTCCAGAATTGTAATAATTTTAATAGTTGTTTCCAGTTTGTCAACTTTCTTTTAGAAGTGTGGACACCACAACTAGACATGGTCTTGTAGTCACTATCTTGCTAATGAGACCTGTTACAGATACTTTTGTATGCAGAAGTAATAATTCTGTTTGTACATATAATAATTAGTCAGATCAAGTCTGTTACCTACAACATTGTACTGTGTTAATTGAAATCTGAATCTTTTTCAGGGCAATTCCTTCCTTCATCCTGATTTTTATAGATGTATAACCTTGTATTCAGCTCTTTTAAAGTGTATGGTCCTCAACTGGTGTTGCCCACCTTATCAAATGTTTCAGAAAGATACAAAATTATAACAAATTATACATTTTTCATCCATAGAATCTAATTATTGGGGGTTATCTTATAATCAGGGTCATCTTCAACTCAAATAAGCACAGTAATTTTTCCTGATTTACTTATTGAACACTTCCTTATGGTTCTTTTTACTTTACTGGCATAGATTTTTCTCATTGATACCTTTTCAGCTCTTCTTGTCAGCTTTCCTATCTATGACTTTCTTCCTATTTTGATGACCTTTACAATTTTTCCATCTGCATTATCTGTATTAATTGTTCTCATCTCCCCTGTTAACCAGCACATGTCTTTAACCAAAGAAGATGGAGTTTAGTCAGCATTTTTAAACACCTCCTGCTCATCATTAATATTTTTATGTCTAAATATTTTCTTCTATTCATTTTAGGAAATTGGCTTTTTTTGCAGCACAAAGTATATGCCATATTTACTTGAATAGAAGATGACCCTCAATAATTAGACTGAAATATATCTATATGGAAAATATATTATATATGGAAAATGTAGACATTTGTTATAACTTTCCAGGTATAGAATCTAATTAATGGAGGTTTGCCTTGAACTTATTCCCCTCCCACTACTACATCAGGGAAAATAAATCTGGGGGGATCAAGTAGCCTCATTCCCCTTTGCTGTCTGTCCCCTGCTGTTGCTTCCTTCTGCAGTTGTCGTCCCCCCCCCTGCCCCCTTCACTGTCAGACCTGGCTCTCGCTAAGTGCATGGAAGTGAGGGGTAAATTTGAAAGCACTGACCTTGGAAGAAACACTTTTTACCAATTAGGCAAATTACCACAGGTACCCATAGACTTAAATCATCCAGAATTGATGCATTGCACCTTTTTTTAAATTACTGCAAGTTTTAGCACAGGTATTCCATAAATTACACTTTTAACCAGCACTTTTATACCTACTTATATGTAGCACAAACTATACATATTTAGTCCAAAGGAAAAAGGCTCATCATATGATGTATACTTGGGCTGGGCCCTAGGAGAATCAACAGCCTTTTAAGCCACGGTGACCCCACAGCTCAGCACTACTTGGTGTGTACTCCATATTACATCCTGTCCCATCCCCCCCCCCCCCCCCCCCCCCACACACACACACACAAAGGATCCATGTGCTAATTAGCCCCCACTTATGACTGGAACTTGGTGTTCTTGTCATAAATCGTGAGATCCTCCAAAAACTTATATGCAGATGAGGCACAGGGCAACCATCTCATGAATGGCAGTGACACACTAATCGTATGCAACAAGCCGAGAGAGGGGGTGACAGAGGGATTCTGAATTAACTGTTTGCAGACCCATCTGGTGCTGTTTGCCAGACATTAAAGGCTAGTGAAGAAACGGCACGTTTCGATAGCAGCCTTCAGCTACCTGAAGGGGGGGTTCCAAAGAGGATGGAGCTGGACTGTTCTCAGTGGTAGCAAATGACAGAACAAGGAGCAATGGTCTCAAGTTGCAGCAAGGGAAGTTTAGGTTAGATATTAGGACAAACTTTCTCACTAGGAGGGTAGTAAAACACAGGAATGGGTTACCTAGAGAGGTGGTGGAATCCCTGTCCTTGGAGGTTTTTAAGGCCCGGCTTGACAAAGGCCTGGCTGGAATGATCTAGTAGTGGATGGTCCTGTCTCATATTTAAGTAAATATGGTATACATTATTGATCAGCAGGGATCTGGGTTTTCCATTCACCACAGAAAAACACAGTAAAAACTGGATTATCTCATTTTAAGGAGAAAAACCCAGATTTTCTCCTTTTAAAGGAGAAAAAAGTGGGAAATGGCAGGTTTCCCCTTGTAGGCTGGGGGGGAGCAGGAAAAGGGCGGTCAGGCAGGGGGCTCCATGTGCCTGTGTTCACGGGCACGTGGCTGCCAGGCAGCCTGCAGAGCAGCTCTGCACAGTAAATCTGGCATGGGGTGGGGGGAATTGAGGCCCCCGTGCGAGGGAGGGAGTTGGGCAAGCTGCTGTCCAGCTGGGGCATGCATGGGGCCTGGGACCAAAATGTGCGGCCGCAGAGCCTAGGTGGGAAGCGGCTCGTCCAGGGGGCAGGGGGGCTGGATCCCCACTGTTGCACACACTCCCAGGAGCTAACATGGTGGGCACATGCCCCCCAGATGTGTGCAAGGGGCACAGGTGGGCTGCATGGTGCAGGCTCATGCTTCCCACCCTGCTGCCCTCTCCTTCAGGGCCCAGCAGGCAAGACCCAGCACAGCAGGGCAGAGTGGGATGGGGGAAGCCCAGTGCTGCCACTACAAGCCCTGCCCTGCTGTGGTGAGGCGTTCCCTTCCCACCCGGCAGCAACAGGACTGGCAGCATAGGGTACCCATTGTACCCTTTGTGCGTGGAGCTCCCAGCGGTGGCAAAGAGTTTCCCCGCCCAGCCCCACTCTGCCCTGACGTGCTGGGTCCTACCCCCTAGGCCATGGAGGCCCCAGGGGGTGGGCATCGGGGCAGGGAGCCTCGAGCCCACAGTAGGCAGCTTACACCCACCCCTTGCCCCCCACGGGCTCTGCTCTGGCCATGCCACCCACTGGGGAGGGGGAGCTGGGCCTGAGCTCTGGTCCACCCCGCCGCAGCAGTCACCACCTCCCACAGACAGCAGCCAGGGCTCGAGCGGTGCTGGGAGGGTAGGGGCTGCGGACCTGGGTCCCTGGCCCCGTATCCCTGGTACCTAGGGTCCCCTCCGGCAGAGCTGGGGGGGATCTGTGGAGTGGGGAGTGAGGGGCAGTGGCATGAGTCGGGCAACGGCATGGGCAGGGCACTGGCATATCAGGGCTGCTCAGTACCACAAAGCAGTGGGGTATGGAGACAGCTGCAGCTGCACCTGCATCCTGGTGAGCAAAGGGGGAAGGGGGAGCTCTGATTTTTTTTTTCCATGATAAAAACCCCAAAATCAAATGCCAACATTTATAGGTATTTAGAATGTATCTTATTATAGTGTTTGAGGTGCTGGCAGGCTTCCAACGTGCTTTAAAATTGTAAATATATCAATAAAATATTGTGTTCAACTGATACCTGTATATATATAGTGGTATTTCATTTTAATTGTGGAAAAATTCAGATTTGGGGATTTTAAATTAGAGAATTAGTTATTTTTAAACAGAGAAACCCAGGCTCCCTGCTGATCAGGCTTGTATTCTGTTTGCACACAACACATTAGATTGTGATACCTGTTACTTACGCAACCATCAGATTTTAGTTCAGTTATCTGATTCATCTTTACCCATGAGAGTGAGGTATTATATGAAATCACCCTAAATTGGTTTGAAAAGTTAGGAAATTTAATTTTTAGAAATGTCATGGCTTATGCAGTGTTAAGTACTCCAACCCCAGTGATGCTTTGTACATGATGTATGTTTAAGGAACTGCTTATCCTCTTCCCTCCATCCAGTTGAGTGATCTGTATCTCACCTAACCATCTTGTGGTTGTATTAGTGCACAGATAATAAATGTTCCAGGTCTGGTCCTTCTGAATTGTTAGGAGCTCTAAAGCATAGATGCAGCCTCTGAGGCATTTGTAGCTTTAAAAGATAAACCTTTTCCATAAAACAAGGTTGTTAACCTTGGTTTGATAATGTACTCATTTTGCATATAATATCTGCCTTGTGCCTTCAGTCAGATAGATATTCTTTTCCTGTCCACATCTCCCCTCTAGTTTTGCTGAGATCTATGATGTGTTGAGGGGGGTGGTTTCTGTATATAGAGTTTCTAAAGCCTTCTGGAAACCTAACCTCCCTGATATAATGTATCATGTGAATATAGGCTTGTTATTTCTTGATGGCTCAGACCCAGTGACTTTGAACCTTTTTTGATCCCAGACTGATCTGTTGGGCTTCTAGACCCAGCGGTGAGGTGGCTGAAGTCCAAAGTGATGTTGTACAAAGCAGTTTGGTACAGTTATCTGAACTAGCTCTGCACACAGTGCCTCCTGAACCAGAAGCAGCAAACTGGCAGTTAGTACAGCACTGCACCCAGGCTAGGGATCTGCAGTCCATCAGTTGAGAACTGCTGGCTTACATGATGACTGAACATTATGGTGATATAAAGCAAATTCTAAATATTTTATCTAAGTTGCCATTTTTCCTATAGTAGAAATGCCTGGCGGCCTTGTTAGCATTTCTGTTGAACTGAGAACAGAAAACAGTTGTGTCATAGAAAGCTGGAAGGGTTGGGGGACAGGGACAGCAGTGTACCAGTCCTAGTGTGGACTGCTTCTTTAGTTTCTTTCCTATTGCTGCTGACAAATTACATGGTCTTTCCAGGTGAATTCAGAAAGTTGCAAGAAAAATTCCTTTCCTTTGCCCCAGGGTCATGGCAGTGTTCCCATAAAGCATTAAGTTATGATGAATTCATTTAGCATGGTCAGCTTTAGCATTCAAAAATCCTGAACAAGGCAGTCTTTAAAACATCTCTCTCTCTCTCTCTCAATGTTGAGTGTGCTTTTTATTTGTTCTGGCTTAAACTGGAAGATGTGCTTACTTCGTGGACACAAACCGTTGCCTTCCCCTTTTTCTGTATTGTAAGGGCTAGAAATGTTTTTCAACAACAGCTCAGAATTTAAAAAAAAAAATGCTCAATACCAGAAATTGGGGATACCAGGGAAATGCCAAATATGAACCTAGGGGTGAAGGAGGAAGGATTGAGAGTTGGTGATGCTGTTCTGTGCTCTATCCTGTTTGAGGTTTCTGCATAATGAGATTTCCCCGCTGATGCCAATATAGTGCAACCACTTAATGTAACTGTCTGACTTTCTAGTCTGACCCAGCTAAAAGAAGGGAGGAATTTATGCCATTGCAGGAACTAAACTACGTGTGTATATACCCCTTCTCCAGTCTGCAGTGTGGATGGAAGTTGTTGAGATGTTAGCTTCACATAGCTACTTCCTGTCATAAAGTCATTGACTATCACTCTTTTAAAAACTACCTAGTTTGCAAAAGCTGTGGGTGGGACAAAAGACATTTGGAATGGTCTTGGCTACTAGACAAATTGTTCAAAAGAGCAAGCTGGCACAGATCCCAAAGTGATTCACCTCTCTGGAGACGAGGCTGCTAAGCTGGCTTGGAGAACTGAGTTACAGCAAGAGACTAAATTAAAAATTTTGAACTCAAGTCACATATCTAGTCCTATTCCAGTGTGCCTATTGCAAATTCACAGGTTTGGAAGCTCCTCTCAGAAATTACACAAACAGATCTACCAATAATATTTCAAAGTACCAAATCCTGGAAAAATTAACCCATTTAATCTGGTCATATTCATAGAGATTTTTTTCATTATAAAAAATGAAGCTAATTGTTGTTTTGAGTGAATCTAGGCAGTTGCAAGAAAGGGGCCCAGGGCACCCCCAATTGAAGTTTCGTCTTTTATATCCTAATGGAACAGTAAAACACAGGCACTTTTTAAAGTGTGGGCTCACTGGGCTTTAGTAGGTATGGATTTCCCTTAGCAACTTGTCAGTGTTTACTTGCTTGAGAAGCTAATGGCCAAAATAGTTAGTATTCCTTTTGCTTTGTGTTGGGGGCAGGCTTCCCATTGAAGCCTCTCTCTTTTTCTGTTTTCCCCTCTCCAGAAACAGAGAATGGCAGATCGTCAGGAGAGTCAAATGACTATTGAAGAAAGAAAACACCAAATTACTGCCCGAGAAGAAGCCTGGAAGACAAAGGGTAAAGGAGCAGCCAATGACTCCACGCAGTTCACTGTGGCTGGCCGAATGGTAAAAAAAGGTCTGTAAGGAAGGCAGCCAAATATAAATAAGCCATCACGTATCTGTCTAGACCAAACAGAGTAAGGGCTAATGTTAAATAGAAACATTATTTGTATTTAACAAGAAAAAGGCTGTTTATCTTCAGCCCTGTGTCATGGCATTGTAGCATGTGCTGTGACTCCTAGTTGTGGTTTGCATGGATCATCTTATCCTGCCGTGTTTGCATTCATAGAGTGATAAAGCTCATAATAAAAAAAGCAATGGCAGATTGTTTATATTCGCATACCTCCTTCAATTTTTGTCTCTGTCTAGCCCAAAGGGCACAATCAAATTGCCCTTGTTACATAACTGACAGATAAAAATGAATGTGTTCTGTCTCTAATAAGAATTGTGAAACTTAGCTTTTGACCTGTAACTGACTTTTTTTTTTTTCCTTTTCTTCTTTCTGGGATCACTCAAAATATTTAGCAAATGCTCCTGTGTTGATTTGAGGATTTGGGTAGGAAATGAAATTCAGGGGCATCATTATTACTGTCTTTACTTGAATATAAGATGACCCCCCCCCAATAATTAGATTCTATATATGGAAATGTTAGAAAGTTGTTATAATTTTCCAGGTATAGAATCCTAAGTAGTGGAGGGTTGTCTTGAAT